AGTGTGGGGGCCTGTTCCCGTGGGCAGATGTCAAAGCATTTTTTGTCTTTGCATTCTTAAAAAAATTTCCTCCATTTTGTAACTGCTCACCTCTTAGTGATATTACTTTGACCATTTTTCTGTAAACTAGACTTTACGTCACTGTGTTTTCACCTGATTTGATCACTCTGAGGCCAACCAAGGATAGCACAGAAAAGGTGACATAGCAGGATTCAACTTGCACGCATTGAGCAACTGGTCTTGTCCTTTAGGTGGAAAATTATGGAGACTTTCTAAAATAAATCATGGTATTAACTTATCTTTATGTTGATTTTAACCTGAGACAACAGCATTTGAGTCAAGATCTTGTGGGAGGCATATTTAATTTACAACCATCATTCATTCTTCCCACCTGTGCCTTTGGGTGCTGGACACTGGGCCAGGTGCTAGGGACACACAGGTGAATGGAGCACAGCCCCATTCCCAGTGAGCTCAGCTTGGAATGACACAGACTCTGAAACAAACAAGTGCACTGCCTTCTTTGTGCCCTGCATACATACATGCACATGCACACACATACACAAGGGCATACAGGCACACATGAGAGTATACACACTCAGGGGCACACGTGTACACACAGGGGCACATGCACACACATGAGGGTGCACACACAGGGGCACACGTGCACACACAGGGGCACATGCACACACATGAGGGTGCACACACAGGGGCACACGTACACACATGAGGGTGCACACACAGGGACACATGTGCACACACAGGGGCACATGCACACACATGAGGGTGCACACACAGGGGCACACATGCACACACAGGGGCACATGCACGCACATGAGGGTGCACACACACTCAGGGGCACACATGCACACACAAGGGCACATGCACACACATGAGGGTGCACACACAGGGGCACATGCACACACATGAGGGTGCACACACATGAGGGTGCACACACTCAGGGGCACACATGCACACACAGGGGCACATGCACACACATGAGAGTGCACACACAGGGGCACACATGCACACACAACGGCATATATGCACACACATGAGGGTGCACACACTCAGGGGCACACAGACACACACTTGAAGGTATACACACACAGGGGCACATGTGCACACATGAGGGTGCACACACAGGGGCACACACACATACACGAGAGTGCACACACGGGCACATGCACACACACAGGGGCATGCACGCACACACACTTGAGGGTACACACGCACATAGGGGCACATACACACAAGGGGACATGCGCACCCATGAGGGGGCACATGTGGGGCACACACATACAGGGGCACATGCACACACAAGGGTACACACACGGGGACACACACACTTACTATGGGCCCTGAAGAAAAGGATGACTTCTCTCCATGCCTCCATGAATTTCAGGGAAAACTCAGACCACTTAAGTAATGCAGAAGGGGCAATTGAACCGGAAAAGCAGCACATCTCAAGAAGCTGCCTGGAGTGGAGCCCAGCCGGGCCATGGCTCGACACCCTGAGACCACCTAACCCTGAAGAATGCCAGCCCATGGTACCTGGGACAGCAGCAGGCTCAGGCAGGGAAGTCATGGTCCACTGGGGGGATCTGTCCATGTGAGAGCTTTGAGGTCCATGCTGTTGAAGATTTAGGTGACAGTAACTTTATTCTTTGTGGCCATTGCTGTTTCTACCTCAGGAGTTGGGTCCCTTTTGCCTCCCTGTTGCTGAAGTCATCACCAGCAATTTACATCTGCCCATTCAAAGGGACCTGTGGTTCTCACCACGTCCACAGCCCCGGGGCAGGTAAGTTGGGAATTGTCACTTGTACAGATCTCAGTCTGCAGTGGGAGCTTTTACAATAGCTGCATCTATGATCTCTGACCCTGAGGCTGACACAATTGCACACACGCCATGAACTTCACCTGCCAGTGGGCTCCTGCACGGGTCTCAGTGACGGGCGACAGTGTGGGGGCTTCCACCTCAGACCTTGCACAGGTCTGTGACGGGCGACAGTGTGGGGGCTTCCACCTCAGACCTTGCACAGGTCTGTGACGGGTGACAGTGTGGGGGCTTCCACCTCAGACCTTGCACAGGTCTCAGTGACGGGCGACGGTGTGGGGGCTTCCACCTCAGACCTTGCACGGGTCTCAGTGATGGGCGACAGTGTGGGGGCTTCCACCTCAGACCTTGCATGTCTGTTCCTACACCACCCTGGCTGAGAAGGGGAGGCTGCTCAGTTTGGCAGATGTCCTCAGGTTAGGGATAGAAGCTCTTTTATTAGGAGAGGCAAATGTTCGAAACTTTCCTGCCAACTATAGTATTGAAGTTGTTGACCAATTTTTAACACTTTTCCCCCTATAACTTTGTATAATATTATTATATTTTTAAATTGTTAAAATAAATCCATTCAAATCCTGGAGATGGGAGGAAGAAGAGAGACTCTTGGTTCCTGGACAACTAGGTGCAGGTGGGGATTCTGCCCATCCTCTAACCTTCTAGCGATTTCTCTGGAAGGGACTGCAGGTTAGGGGTGCTCTGTCTGCAGTTTTCTCTCCTGGCTGTCATTCCAGACTGGCTGCCAAGAGTAAGGCAGGGACCACACTTTCTCCGCCCAGAAAAAGAAAGAATGGCAGGAGCTCAGCTGGTCCACCTGCAGCTGAGCCTGCAAATGCTTCCATGGAGACCAAACATGTCCTTAAAGGACAGAAACATTAATAAGGACTGTGAATTACTAATGTGTCTCAGACGTGTTCAAACTGGCGGTGCAAGGTCCTGTTAAACCCTGATGCCAGCGTGTAGCTCCCACGTTGCTTCTGTGCCTACTGGACAATGTCCCCTGCCAATCCTGGCCACATCAGGGCCCACTGAGCAATATGGGGAAAGTGAAAGGTGGTGCCCAGAGATGAGGCTGCCGAGGAGATATTCAGGTTGGGTTTATCAAAAAGGACGGTGACCCACCTGAACGGTGAGGACAGTGCGAAGATGGTGCCTGCGGGGCGGGGCAGGGGGCAGTTAGAGACCACTTTTATATGGGCAGTGGGGGACGGGCACATTCCCCTTGTCAGGTGAGGGTCTTTGGACCACAGCTGGGGGCGGGAGCTAGCCAGATCCTTTATCTTTGTCTTAGGAGGAGAAAAGGAAGAGGCGAAAGGGTTTGTGTGTGGCTGCCTTAGGCCCCTCAACAGAAAGCACTTAGCTTTTCACGCTAGTTCCTCACCCACAGAATGGGAATGACGATAGTCTTGTTTCACGGGATGTTGTGAAAATGAACTGGGTGAGCACAGCACAGTGCCAGGCATCGGGACTTGTGATTAGTCCCCAGCCATTAGTATTATCCAAGACCTTGTGAGAGAAGATTGTAGGATGTGAACATTTCTTAGAGAAAGGTAGAACCACGGCAGGCTAGGAATACATTTCTGCTGACTGCACTGTCCTGCTTTGTCCCTGGGACGACTGCATAGGAAACCACGTCTTCTCCAGGTTTGGATCCACAGTGCGTGAGCCACACCTACTCTCAAGGAGGGCCGGGAAAGCCCTTTGGAATGGTCTTGCCCTTTCCTGACGGGCACAGAAATCTGTGGCGTGACTCCAACGCGGAGGGTGGATCCAAATCCAGCGGCCACACGGCCAGTTTGCTCAGCGTCCTCCTACCTGTCTAGTTTTTGTTTATTTTATTTTATTATTTTTTTTTTTTTTGCAGTTTTTGGCCAGGGCTGGGTTTGAACCCGCCACCTTCAGCATATGGGGCTGGCGCCCTACTCCTCTGAGCCACAGGCACCTCCCCCTCTTAGCTGTCTACATCCTCAGCTCTCATCATCTCAGAGCAGCTCCTGAGAGCCACGCCCTCCCCTCCACACCTACACCCAGGTCTGCTCTCTCTTTTCAAACACACTAATCTTATCCCTGTTGCCACAAGGCGAAACAACTGATTCACATGTCCTGATGAATTGATTTGTGACAGCACAATGGCCAATGACTTCTCAATAAGTCACCCTCCTCTGTGACCTGTGTGACCAGAGATGGGTGGTCAACCCAACCAGGAGCGGCCTCCAGTCCTGCAGGTGTGTGGGGGGAGAGAGGATGGTGTGCAGAGGCTCTGCTAGGAAGCCTTTGGTCAGTGCTGCCCTGTGACCTCTACCCTACCTGCCTGCAGTGCCCACCGGGTGGGGCGTGTGGTCCTGTCCTAGCCCAGTGCTTTGTCTTTTCTTTCTCAGCTTTTGAGTCTTGGTGTAGAATATGAGTTAATTCTAATCGACTGAGAAACCTATGCTGACAGAAAAATGCCGGATCCACCATGTATATAAGAGAGCTCAAAGCAACGGAGCTTCTGGAATTCAGCCTAGGATTTGAACTTGCAGGAGCAGTTGGCATGCCTTCCATCAAGGGAGGGTCAAGTCATCCCTTCCAACAAGGGGGGCCGCGCATTCTTTGGAAACAAGAGATAATGATATGTTAAGCACAGAATGCTACAAAGAAATAATGACAAGACACCTGAGAACTAATCATGCACAGAGTAATTCCCCACATGTAAAAATATTTTGTAGGCGGAAGATGCGGGTTTGGTTCTGGTCCCTATGGATGGAGACTCCCGCACTCCTGCGTTCGGGCTGCGCCTTGTTCCCCAGGTGGTTGCCAGGTGCTTGCCGTGGGATGGCCTAACACCTCCCAGGGGTTTGCATGGCCCCTGGGGAAAAAGCCAAATGCACAGGTGGGAAAGCTGGCACCTGGGAGGCTCCTGCTTCTGTTCTTGATGAAGGTAAGAAAGAAGCACCAAGGTCATGTTAGCCCGGGACCCAGCAGCCAGTCGGGGGCGCTGGTGACAGAAGCAGGCCGGACCAGGTGTGCAGGGCGAGGGAGGTTCCTCCTCCGGCTCTGCTGCTGCTCCCGCCAGAAAGCGGAGCCCAGAAGCTGTCTGCTCAAGGCCACGTTCCCACGTGGGGTCCCGGGAGAACCAAGCTGTCTCTGTCGCTGCAGGAACCCAAAGTGGTGCCTTGTCGCTCGCTGTTCAAGTTTTCAGGTCCCTCTAAAATGGAAAGAGAGGTGTCACTGTTCCTAGCACACCTGCTGTCTCTCCAACATGACCACTGAGTGGGCCCCTGAGTTTGCCCTGAGTGTCAGGCTGTTCTCCACCTGGGGAGACAGGTGTGGAGAGCCCCCAGCTGGCAATGAAATGCCTCCGCACCATCCATCACTGCCCTGAGATGGTTCCAAAGCCCCCAGGTGAACTCTCCAGGTTTCAGCATTGTGTCCCTAGTTCCGGTTTGAGTCAGAACAATTTTGGTTTATGCCCCAAGTAGAGACAGGGCTGACAGCTACATGGAGTGAAGGCGCTGACGCGGGACAAGGCCCCATGAGGTGCGGGGCCCCAGGAAGGCCTCACTCTGCTACTCAAGTGGAGCAGCCGCACTGCAGACCCTGGGGAGGGGGGCCCCTCTTGGGCCTGAGGCCACTGGTGGCTCTGTGGGGAGTGTGGGCGCTGGGGCACGGAGGGACCACATCATGGACACTCCCAGCCACAGCTCCACCAGGACCCTGAAACTATTTCTAACCACCCCCGCCCCCGGGAGCCACATGGCACAGGCCAGTGTTTCTGCAGATGCGCCCTGAAGCCCCCAGCACCTCCATCACCAGAGTCCTCCCCCAGCCTTCCCAATCAGACTCTGCAGAGAAGAATCCTGGAATTTTCCATTTTAAGAAGGAGCCAAGTTTGGGCCCGACTGATGCCTCTCTGCAGAGTCCTGCAGGGCTCAGCCCCCTCAGCCTGGGGCAAGTCACCTTACTTCCACCCGGGAACTCACCCCACATTCTTGATAGCTTCATGAAAACTGACTCTAAGAGAGAGATGTATAATGAAACCAATTTTTTTCTCATCAGTATTATAACAAAATTATGTTGGAAGAAAGGACATTATCTGAGGACTTGCTGTACATCGATTTGCTCGCAAAGTCAAGGCTTCCCGGAATTCATCAGTGACGTTAAGTGAAGACCTGGCTGTGTTTGGAATTGGTCCAAGGACCGATGTGAGACTCAGCTGGAGATCAACGCAGCAACTGTTTGCCGAGTGCCCGAGAGCAAGGTAGAAGGTACCCCTGGAGGCTGCCCAGTGGCCAGGCCGCCCCTCCCAAGGCTGCATGCTGCTCCCAGCCGAGTGTTACCCCTGCCCTTCCTTCTTCACCCACCTGCTCTCGCTCAGGACTCGCTGGGCTGCAGCGCTCACTCCCTTCCCCAGGAGCCCAGGGATCTCCCACTATCCCAGGGCTCCCCTGCCTGCCCAGGTCCTGCCAGGCCAGCCTTGCTGACTAGGGCCCTGCAAGACCCTCCAGGTACCCTCCTACAGCACAGCCTCCCAGGCCTCCCACTGGTCCCCCCATCCACTGTCTCAGCCCCCACTCACCCTATCCTCGCACACACAGGCACACCCGATGCATCCTGTCCCCACAGGAGCCCCCTCATCTGCTGCCTCCTCCTCTCCCTACTTGGAGAGGCTGGTCCATCCCTCCTGTCCAGCCTCCTCTGGGTGCCTGGGCCACATGGCCAGACCCATGACGTGCATTAGCTGAGCTCACATCTGTTTTCTGGACCAGGTTTCTGACACCAGGAATCACCAAATCGTTGTCCGCTGACCCAACAATGCCATCACTCACTGTGCGACCAGGGGCACACTTAGAGGATGCTAACAGTTGAGTTAGGGACAGCATGGGCTGGGGAGGGCGCACACCCACCTCCATCTGCTCGTGGATCCAGTCCAGGAAGGAGGTGATGCGTGTATAGACACCAGGCTTGTTCACCTCGGCGCAGCCAATGCCAAAGCTGGTCGCTCCCACCAACTTCCACACCCTCCTCTCTTGACACACAAGGGGCCCCCCACTGTCTCCCTGGGGGCAGGAGGGGATCAGAGGTCAGGGGACAGCCACTGCCACATAGGGCTGCTAGTTGGAACAGCAGGACCTCCCCCAACAATGTCACAGTGAAGGACCCAGGTTACGGGAGGGGAACTGGGGCTCGAGGATGGCTTTGTTTTTGCGTCCACCAGCCTTCCAGATGCTGGCACTCCCAGGCGTGGGGTTCCCCCGTCCCCTCTGGGCTTGTCCTCCAGCTGTGTCTACTACCAGATTCTAGACGCTAAGCTCCTGGGGATCAAGGGGGGCTGGCTGCCTGGCAATAAGAGAAATTCTAGTGTTGGGTGGTGATGGAGCCCTTCCCACTGTGGCCCCAGAGGCCCAGATGCATGGGCTCCCCTCTGCACCCTGGCAGGCCCATGTAAACTCTGAGCATCAGGCCAGGAGGGGAGCAGGACCCCGCCCCTGTTCCGTACCCCAGAGGAGGGATGCTGGGTAAACACTGGCCTCAGCTGGGCAGGGAAGGGAGTGATATCTTGAGCAAATTTCTTCCCCACACCCTGTAAATTTACTTTTCATCCAGTCACAGGGACATACTGGTAATGGCCTGTCCTAAGGGCCAGTCAGTATGCCACAGCTTCACCCACCCTATTAGGGCCAGAGTTCCCCGTGGGCCCCTTACCTGGCAGCTGTCCACACCACCCCTCAGGTAGCCTGCACAGAGCATGGATGGGGAGATGATGCCACCATACACATCCCTGTGGTTGCAGATCTTGTTGGAAATTAGAGGCACAGCCGCGTGGTTCAGGACAGGGGAGGCGTCACCTGCTTGGAAGCAAGGTGGGAATGTGTAGTGAGGAGGGTGCCCAGCTCAGGACGCAGAGGGCATGTGCTGAGGACCAGGGGCAAGGGGACCAGCAGAGTGCCACCCTACATGACATGATGGTGGGGTTGGCCAGGCCCTACCCGGGACACGCAGGCCAGGGCCATCCACAGCATGGCAAACCCTGGTGCTCTGTCCCTCGGAGCAGCTGTGTGGGCCACTCTGCCACTGGCCTTCCTAAGGTGCCAGTGGAGGGGGCTGTGAGGCTAGAGGTCTGACCTACACCAGTGCAGTCAGCTGTCAGAACAACCCTGGGTACAGAGGGGAAGCTGAGGCCCACGAAGGCCACATACTCAGCATCCCAGAGCAGCATGGGGGTGGCCAGCAGAAAAGTGTCCTGACAAAGACACCCACATCCAGTCCCAGGACCTGTGACGATGTTTCCTCACACTTGCAGGTGTGATGGAGGACAGACCTGAGATGGGGAGAGGGCCCAGCTATGAGAGTGGACCCCAGGAAACCACAGGATTCCCTGAAGAGCCAGAGACAGGGATGAGATGACAGAATCAGGGACCAGAGTCGGAGGAGATGGGAAGACACTGCTGCTGGCCCACAGGTCAGAGGGCCATGACCCAGGAGCTGGAAAGGCAGGTGCAGACTCTGCCCTCAGCTGCTGGAAAGAGCACAGCCCTGAGGACAGACCCCTACTCTGGCAGAGGGGCTGTGGGACCTTCTGTGGTGGGCAGAGCAGACTGCTAGAGAGAAGAGGAGAGACCTGCAGAGGGGTCCGACCTCTCAGGAGAAAGGACCCAGCCCCTAGCCCAATCCAGGGTAGTTAGGATGGGCGGGATGGCCTCTGACGAGAACTTGTGAGAACTCACCATGAAGGCATCGAGAGTGCAGGCCACTTTCTCCCCTTTCCCCCACACCCCCCTGGGCCAGCCACTGTGGCACAGAACCGGCCCTGGCTGAGTGTTGGCCAGGCCCAGCTTCAGGCTACAGAAAGCTGTGTGTCCCTGAGCCAGGGTGGGCCCTGCGAGGGTGTTGGCGAGAGTGTGGCAAGCTGGCCCAACAGCCCCAAGCATCTGGCTGAGCCCCCGAGTGGCTTCAGGAGGAGGCAGGCTCGGTTAACGTGTCTTGGGAGAAACGTGCTGCACTTCCTACACTGGGTTGAACTGTGAGTCTCTCAGACGTGCCTCTGCACACTGTCGACATAACCTGCCCTGCTGTGCAGTTCAGGTGGGGACCTCAGGATCACATCACCCTGCACTTAGGGTGGCCCTAAGTCCAGTGACGACTGCTTTATAAGACAAACCGGGGAGAGCTGAGACACAGAGAAGGGGGAGCCGCGTGAAGATGGAGATGGAGACTGGAGGGACAGATCTGCCTGCCAACGACCACTGGGGCCACCAGGAGCGGGACCTGGAGCACAGCAGATTTCTCCGAGAGCCCCCAGAAGGAGCCACCCCTGCAGAAACCTTGACCTCAGACTTTTGGCCTCTGGAGCATGAGAGAATAAATCTCCATGGGTTTGAGGCACTATAACTTGTTACGGCAGGCTCAGGGACTAACACTGTCCCACTGACACAAAAACCTCAGCATCCGGGCATCTGTGCCCACACTGACCAGGGGTGGCACAGGCCTCGTGTGCACCTGTTCTTGTTAACATCACAACTTCTGTTACGGTCACAGCAGCAACATCCCACTGGTTACTTTTCCTACTTGATTTTCATGGGACACGTCTTCCATAGTCCCAAAAGGAAAAAATCTTTTATAGTCACGAATCTTGCCTCCTGAAGAGAGCTTGGGCAGGCAGCCAGCAGGGCGGGGGGGACAGAGAAGCCCCAGGCATGTTGGTGATGGCCTAACTCCTTCTTGAGAAGGTCTGCAATTTTGTCCTGGGCCAATGGAACCACAGGGCATGACCCTCCCACATGGTCAGTGTGTGAACAGCTGACACACACCCTGGCCTTCCCAAGGGCACCTCACATAGGGATATAAGAGGCCCCTCCCTTGGAATCTGGGCTCCCAGGCTCAGGCCACTGACCTCCATCCTCGGTGGCCCCCCATCCTGACGTCCAGCACACTTTCCCGTCAGGGAAGCTCTCCTCTGAGTTGGGCAGGCAGACGGGCTGGATCACCTCTGTTTAAAGGGAAATAAGAACTCTCAGCACAACTGAAGTAGGAGCCTGAGGTGATTATCAGTGTTTGCGTCTCTGAGGACTACAGACTACCTCCCAAGGAAAGGCCAGCCCTGGTTTGAAGCCAGTGAGTGCATAGCAGGGCCCTCGCCCACCTGCCTCTCGAACCCTGGAAATTGCAGAACAGCCCTCAGCCCACAAGGAAAGGGCGTCTAGATGGACACAAGCATCTTGGAAAGGGTCTCCAGGCCTCGCAGGCCTCACAACCTCTGCGGCTGCCACTCAGCTCTGCCATCAGAGTAGGAAGCAGCCCAGGTGACAGGCACATAGATTCCAGCAAACTGTGTTTGCCCAGACAGGCCACGGCTCAGACTCAGCCAGTGTGGTCTAGACCACGGGTCTTTGCATTGCTTTAAGGAACATGGCTCCGTGAGTGTTCCTGTCGCTGCTGACGCACCTGCAGGCGACAGGTTTGCCCGCGCAGGGGGCAGGTTTGCCTGTGCAGGGGGCTGGGCCCGTGCGCCTCCCCCAAAGGCAGCATCACACGGGTGCCACAGGCCGTCCTGCAGGGCTAAGCTTTTCTGGGTAGGACAGTGCTTGAGAGGTGGAGAAGAAATAAAAGGACTCATTTTAGTTTTCATCAAAGTGCAAGAGCTGGCCCCTCCTTTCCTATAACCAAACATCATTAAGAACAGCTTGCAAACTCGCCCCGCTGTGGCGAGTTCTCTGTTCCTCTGGAAATGTTACGTGTGTCATGTGATAAACCTCTGATGATTCTGCCAGACTGCGCCTGTGGCCGGTCTCATGCCAGGACTCTGCTCCAGTAAGAGGAGAATTCGCCATATTTATTGTGCCCTCCTGTTCTCCAAGCTGCCTATCTTCCTTGGGAAGGAAAAAGAAACTAATTTATTTAAGAGGAGGCTCAGAGTGCTTTGTTTGCATGTGCTATAAAATGTTTGAAGGTGCGATGAGGTGTGGCTTTTCTGGTGGTTTTGTAACATCTAGAGAGCATCTAGAGGACTTGACTTTCTAGAAATAAGGCCACTTTGAGCCTGCTGAGCACAGTGCTGATAGGGAGAGAACTTTCCTGGTACTTCCAGGGAGCCAGGGCTGCTGGCAATTCACAGCCACTGCCAGCTGCTAGCCTGGAAGCTGTTTCTCAGCCATGACCAAGACTCTGCCCTCCACCTGGAGACACCAGGCAGGTGGGTGGCATTGGCAGGGGGACCCCACAACAGCATGCACTGGGCAGGGACACGCTCTTCCCCCTCAAGGCCGGTGACTCTCTTCCAGCACCTAGAGGCACCAGGAAGTCTGGCCTGAGGAAGCCCCCAGGGGGCAAAAGCAGGAAGAAGGTGGCACAGGACCTAAACAGAACCCCGAAGGTTAAAATTAAATTCTCACTGGAAGCACGGCCAACAAAACTAGGCCGGGATCTATGAACTGACTTTAGGCAGGATAGGCCAGTGTGGTGGCTCACACCTGTAATCCCAGCACTCTAGGAGGCCACAAAGCCAGTAGATTGCTTGAGGTCAGAAGTTCAAGACCAGCCTGAGCAAGAGGGAGATCTCATCTCTACGAAAAACAGAAAAACTAGGCTGGCATGGTGGTGCATGCCTATAGCTCCTGCTACTCAAGAGGCTGAGGCAAGAGGATTGCTCAAGCCCGAGAGTTTAGGTTGCTGTGAGCTATGATGTCATGGCACTCTACTCAGGATGACAAAATGAAACTCTGTCCAAAAATAAATACATTAATTAATTAATTAAAAAATACAGGGTGGCCATCGGCTGACACTGAACTTTTATATAGGACTCAGTATCTGCTAACATAACACCCAAATATTCCAGGATACAATTGAAAATTACTTATCATATAAGAACCAGGAAAATGACAACTTCCGTGAAAAAAGATATTGAATAGATGCCAACACCAACAAGAGCCAGATGTTAGAATTGCCTGGCAAGGATTATAAAGCAGCCATCATAAAAATGTTTCAACAAGCAATCACCAACTCTCTTAAAACAAATGAAAAGCGGCAGAACTGCACGGAATCCCAGGCATACCATTGAATGTGAGTGGCCCGGCCAGCTTCATGAGGGCAATGTCATTGCCCAGCCTCTTTGGCTTGTACTTGCTGTGGTAGATGATTTTCTCCACCAAGTGGGAAGGGGCTGGGCTGTCCAGCAAGGACACGAGGCCCACCTGGATGGTCCACGACTTGGGGAGGTATAGGCTGAAAAGAGACAGGCAAGAGGCAAGTGCTGGGAACTCAGCCATCAACCACTGACCCCAGGCATCCTGGGAGTGTGGGGAGACGGCCCCATCACCTAGCCTGTCCATGCTGGACATCAGACCCTGGCTCCTGTGCCCTCAGAAACACAGACCCACACCCATGTATCTCTTGAACGGGCCTCACTCTCCCCACTCTAAGGTCTTCTCAACACTCAAGAATTGCAGGGGGGCCTATGGGGGCCCATCCCCATCAAACAGCAACCAACACAGAAAGAGGTAAAAGTAACAGGGTGAGCTGTTGTGAGTGGAGGTCCTCGCTGTGTTTTCCTACACTCTAACCTCCTGAGGGCATAAGAGGAGGCCCCCGCCAGCCCACCCTGTACCCCTCACCCTGTCTCAGCCATGGCCTGGCCTGTCATAAGTAGCTGCAGGGAGGATGGGTCCTCTTATTTGATGGACCCCTGCCTGAGAGCCTCCTTCCTCCTCTCCTACCTCCTGTGAGTCTAAGATCCACATCTGCCCCCTCTGCCCACCTGCATAATTTCACAAAAGCCCTGACACTGAGCAGGTGTAGCTCTCTGGAAAAATGCTCTGGAGAGAAAATGGGACATGGCACAGCCCCCACGTCCTGCTGGAATCCCTCACACTTTGAAGGTGGCTGAGCACAGCCTCACCTTTGCCTACATGTGAGGTATGTCTGACGGGGCTGGTGACTGTGCATCTGGGGCTGACTACAGACGTACCTCAGCTACCTTACAGCCAGACATGTTACAGACGTGACCTGCACATGTGGAGTCTGCACAGCGCACATGTGAGTGGCGGTGGCTCACGGAGCCAGTCGGTCTGAAAGCACCGCTCTGCAGGCCCCACCCAGGCTGCAGTTTTCAGTCAGATTCTGAATAAAACCAACTGTAATTCTTTAAAAGCTCAGTTTTTCTCTTTAGCCCACACTTTCCTGTATGAGTTATAGATCTAAAATCCTCAAAATGAGTTCAGGTCACCAGTCACTACAGGCTGATGTAACAGGCCTCAGGGACAGGGGCAACCTCTTCTCCCGGATGTCACTTGGTGGTGACTGATCTGCCGTCCCCACCCACAGCGCAGGAGCCATGACTGCGAGGTCAAGTTCAGGGGCACTCACTCGTAAACACAGTGTGCAGCGGTGACGATCCACTGCGGGGTGATGACGGAGCCTCCGCACAGGTGGTACCCCTGGAACTGAAGACTGACCTGCCAGGGCCACTGGGACAGCACGGACTCGTTCCCACCGACGATGCGTGAGCTGTAGCCTCTTCTCAGACCACAGACTGCAGAGGGGAGCAAGGGCTTGCAGGCAGCCCCCACAGGATTTTCTGGGGGACCTGCTTCTCTCTCCCCAGTGTCACTGCCACCTGCCCGGAGCTCTTGGCAGTCTAAGGTGAGCGCTGCAATGGGGCAGTCTGGGGCAGCAGTGGCACAGACTCAAGGGGGAACTCGAGGCATGGCAGAGGGTACGGTGGGAAGAGGCCATCAGAGCAGAGCAGGCTGAGAGGCCCGCAGTGCCCACGCTGGTGATGACAGCACACCGAGTGTCAGCTAGCTCCTCATCACCACAGGTGCTGACAGCGCCTCCCTGACTTCTGCAGACCTGAGCCCCTCCTGTGAACTCTGCCCTCCCTCCACCAGGACCAGGGGCAGTATCCAGAGGCCCAGGCCTGGGCACACTTAAGGAGAGAGTAAAGGAGAGATGGGATGTTGGGACCTTGGTCCTGGCTGTGGTCTCCCTCACCTGTTAGGTGAGGCTGACACTGCCCCCGTCCTTAATCGGCGGGGGGGTGCACTGAGTTCCCAGTGGGAGCCTGGGAGGAAGGGGCTCAGAGCAGTCCTTGGCAGGGGCTGCGGGGGCTGGGGGCAGGCGTCTGGGCAAGCCCTTGCTTCCCTTTGATTTGATTTCTGGGTCTCTCAGACTCTCACCTGTGCACTTCAAGGTAACCACGTGACCCGAGGCGCATTCTTCCCTAAAGCAGGAAAAAAGTGGGCTCTATGAACAAAATCTGAGGCCGATGGAACAACGTTCTTGTTTTACTTAAGCTTGGAGTAAAAAAAATAAATAAACTCTATTCTTCTCACTCTTGAATAGTGATTAGAGTTTTGGTCTATGTTGAAAAAAAGCAAACCATGAGAGTGAGGTCACACAGTCATTGCAAAGCATTCAAGTTAAGAGTGAGGTGGTGTGTGTGGTGGGCTGTTTAGAGTCCCTAAACTTCATTTAGCTAACAACAAAAGATGCAAGACATCTGTAATCGAAACACACATGGTGTCATTTGTATGTGGGTTCACCCCGCTACTCTTCACATCCTGATCCCTGGGGCCACCAAGTGCCCAAGGGACAGTGTGGCAGGCTCTCCAGGGCCTCTTGCAGCCAGGTTATGCCTCTCCAGCCTCCCAAGTCCAGCAGGTGACCAATACCAGTCACAGCATCACCCGAGGACTCACCTCACATACACGGAGTGGTGTAAGGCAGTCACCTTGTCATCTGGCAAAAGGTGGTTGATGGACACAAATTCCTCCTGGAATTGCCCCTCCAGGGAGCTCACTCTGAGGCTGTCTGAACTGACATGGCTGTGAGCACATGAGAAGCACAGACCTGACCTGTTAAAGTTGCTCTTTGAAGCACAGGGGTCACACTTGGGGATGTCACACTGTCCCTGCCAAACCGACAAAGTCTCCCTTTTGCCAATAGAATGAAGTTCCCAGGCCTCAGCTGGACCCCCCCACCTGGGGCAGTCTGGGATGTTCCACCTTCTGGCCCCCACACCATGGCCCAGCCTCGCCCCCTGCCCCCATGTCACAGCCACACAGCAGGAGGACCACTTCCTAAGGCCATGGGATGGGCCCCCCCACCCCGACACATTGGTTAAAACAGCCTTTGGGTGGCCTGAAGCAGGTCCCGGGAGAGCTGGAGGAAGAACTAGGTGTGGTGCTGTCAGCCGGGCATGAGGCAGGGATGTGAGCACTCCCAAGTATGGGTTAGGGAACAAGGGCCCTCCTGGTCTGCTGGGCTGCTTGGGCTCCCCCCACGGGGGTGATGAACACCACCAGGAAGCACTTCAGGGAGAGCCAGTACCCTGCAGGTGTGTGAGGAGTTAGGAAGTGGGTCTCTGGAGGGCAGTAGGGAAGGAGCTGTGACATTTTTAAAAAATCAAATAAATGTTTGGAGGGTGGAGAGATGGAGGGTGGTGAGTAAGCAGCCATTTTCCCCTTTCCTGTGGAATGAACACACTGTACCACGGCGGCTGCTCCACCAGCCGACATGCTGGCCTATCAGCAGGATTTCACCAGGGCACTCTGAGCGCTGGGCGTGGGGAGGGGTTGAGGAATAAACGTTCAGCCACCTTGGACCGATGAGGGAACCATGACAGAGGCAGCAGCATGACCGGCAGGGGACTGCCTGACTCACTGACATGCAGGTGCCCAAGAGAAAGAGCCGCCCATCTCTGGGGCAGCTGGGCCCTGGTGCAGGTGGCAGGTCAAATGCAACAGCTGGAGCCCAGTAGCTGTTCAGGTCTCCCTGTGGGTCACTACAACCACGCCCACAGCCACACCACAGGGTGCTCCTGGGCCCAGGCTCGCCCACACGCACAGGTCCGTTGAGCTCAGGACCCTTTACAGCTGCTCCGTGTCATCCCTGTTTCAAGGGAGGAAATGGGCACACAGCATGTAATGTGGTGGAGCCATGTCCCCGGGCGTGGCAGGCCTTTGGTCCTTGTGTTTTTAAGTCACTGATGTCTGATATAGGATATACCAGAGCAGAGAAGTGTAAAGAAGAATTTAAGAATAAGCAAGATAGGGAGAAGTTAGTCTTAGAGACTGAGACAGACCCACAGAGAAATACACACAGGAGGGTGTAGGTAGGAGGGGCCAGTCTGCCCGTGAAGAAGCAGGCGGGGCGGGGGCTGGCAGACGGCTCTCTGCGCCTTCGGGGAGGGGGCACCCTGGGGTCTGGGCTGGGTGCAGGAGCATCGGAGAGTGGCCCCCACCACTAGGTGGACCCCCAAATCCTGCGTGGGCCTGCTGAGGTGGGGGGAGGGGGCTGGCTGAGCTGCTCTGACAGCACAGCAAAGGGTTCTGGGGACCTGTTCTGCCTGGGGGGTGGGCGGTGCTCCAGGGCAGGAGGGGAAGGAAGAGGGAGAAGGGCCCTCCCCATAGGTCCAAGTGACAGGCTGGGGAGGGAACAGAAGTGCTGAATGAGAAAGCCATTGGCTGTGTGCAGCTGGGTGTGTCTGTATGTCTGTGTGTGTCTGTATGTGTCTGTATGTGTCTGTGTGTGTGTCTGTGTGTGTCTGTATGTGTCTGTGTGTGTCTGTGTGTGTCTGTGTGTGTGTCTGTGTGTGTCTGTATGTGTCTGTGT